ATAAAAAACCAACCTCTTTTGCTCAGTTCATTGGAACACTTATATTCTGTTTTATGGAATGTATTGTTCGACTCTAGAATCGCAATAAAGCCAGTCGAGCTCTTTAACTGAATTTGTCGTAATTCTGTCCTTTGATAGCACCATGCTAGGCACTGGGCGTGCGCTCCTAAGTAAAAAGGGATTCATTGCAGGCCCGGGAACAACCATCACAGAGAAGCACTCGGATTAATTCATCATAACTGTGAAAAGGACTACAGGGGGTGCGAGAACGTGTCACGGTGACACCCCCCATTGTGAATGTGTGTGGGCGAGCTCAAGGGAGCTGAGACCTGAAGGATGGATCAGCAGGAGCCAGCGAGGGAAGGATGGCTTAAGGAGACCATTCCAAGTAGGAAAGCAGCACGTGTGAAGCCCCGGAGGAGAGCTGGAGCTGATGGGGAGGGACCTGAAAAGTCACCGTGGCTGAGGGCAGAGGGGAGGGGTGTTGTGAGAGGAGGCAGGGGAAACATCCGGACGACCCAGGCTTTGATTTGCAACCGAAAACCTAATTTTCAGCAGCCCCATGAGGAAATGCATTCGTTCACAGGGAGGTGTGGCGGCGGCAGGTCCCCGGAGCGGGTTCTTCCTATATTTCTGCTGTGCCCTAATCAGCAAGTTGGCCTGTTCCTCCGGCGTCTAGGGATCATTTCCAGCCACAAAAATATCCAGTCAAAGACTAGAACTGCCTTGTCGTCTTTTTATTTTTTAATTTTAAAACAAAAATTCTTTCTTGGAAGCCTCCCGGCCATCAACCTGGCCTCTCCTGCCCAGGTGAGAGCTGGGCACACACCCGCACCTAAGCAGTCACCCGGGAGAACCACACAGGGGATAGGTGCACAACAGAATCACGTTGGGGCTCCCCCATCCAGCCCGAGGCCGTCTCTCCTGACCCTGGTCCCCGCTCCTGGGGGCGGGGAGTCCGAAAATGCATGAAGTGCCCAGACTGCCCCAGGGGTCTCTTCAAGGACCTTCCCTTTGGGCCTGAGGGAACACCCTTGGCTCATTTTGCAGACGTGGGGAGGCCTTCTTTGGGGGACCCGAGCGTGCAGTCGGGCGCGGCCCCGGGATGAGCGCGGGAGATGTGCTCCCCGCAGGGAGGGATCTCAGACAGGGGAAGGGCAAGGCCTCCTGCGCAGAGCCTCGGCCACAGGGAGACCTGGGCCGGGGAGGGCACACTGCCCCCTGGGGACAGGCCGGGGAAGGCCTCGGGGCAGCCGGCTTCGAGTCAGCTTGCGAAGGAAGGACGCCGCTTCTCCTCTTCATCTCCCCAGAACTGGCAAGTGTCGTGTCGTCAATATTTTTGAGTTGCCGCGGAAAGCCGCGGTGTGCGCTGCGCACGAGGACAGCGCTGCGGGCGGAGGGAGCCACGGAGCAGAAGTGGGGGACAGGAGGGCCGCGGCAGCCAGCGCCGGGTGCTGGGGCTGGGCCTCATCCTGTGGCGAGGGTGAGTCACCATCAGCAGGGCGTACCCAGGACCGGGATCGCGTGCGTGGACACGTGCGGGGGGATGGGAGAGAATCAGGTTTGAGGAGCCCTAGTCCCTCGGGGGCGCGCCCGGCTCCCTCCCGCGCAGGGAAAGTGCGCTTATAGGTGGGGCCCTCCGCACGCGTGCGCACACGGCTCACTCCCCGCGAGGCAGGCCCACGTGCGCGCCAGGCCCACGTGCGCGGCCTCGTGCGCCCGGAGCCCCTCCCCAGGGGGCGTGCCCGGCGGGGTCCCGCCTCCCGGCGGCGCCCAGCTCTACAAAGCACCGCGGCCGGCCCTGCGCGGTGACTCACCGCCGGGTGGGGTCGGCGCGCCGACGCCCTGCGGGCCGGGTGGGGAGGGCCGGAAGCCCGGCTCCTCGACGCCGCGTCGCCCCCACAACCTCCCGCCGCCCGAGGTCCTCCTTCGCCCACCGCCCCGCGCCCAGCCTCCTGGCGCAGCTCGCGGGGAGAAGTTCCCGAGGCCTCAGCCCTGACAGCCCCCCGCCCCCGCCCAGAGCTGAGCCCCCCGAGGATCTGGGGAGCCAGTGCCCCTTCGTAGGAGGGGCCGTGTTCCTGGAGCGGGGTGGGGTGAGTTTGGAATGGGGGCGCTGGCTCCCGAGTAGGGGGGGCACGTACCTAAATGGGGTTGGGCTTCTTACAAGCTAGCGTCTGGATACGCGGCTGAGAGGGTGGGAAACAGGTTCCTGAACAGTCGTCGGGGTTTCCGCTTGCTGGAGACCTGGGCCCAGCTTGGGGGGAGGCATGAAGTGGACACACAGTGGGTACATGAGTTTTAATGAGGGGGCAGACTGAGGAGGTGGCCACTGATCAGAGCTCAGGGCCAGGGTCTGTGGGAGTCACCCATGTCTCCCTCCTGTCATTTCAGGAGGCCGTATTTTTTCCCAAAACCCGAGAAGGCCTCAGAGGCCTGGTTAGCAGTCTTGTCGATGGTTTCCTGGGTGGTCTTGGCCACTTCATCCATGGCTGGGGAAGGAAGGGAGAGGGTAGGTAAGGGTAGGGAACCCGCACCATGCGGGGTTAGCCTGGCCAGCCTCCTTCCCTAGGAAGCCTGCCTTGGGGCATTGTGGGCAGAGAGGCCTGCAGAGGACGGGGTGTGCCAGGGCTGGGGCATGGTGGGGGGTGTGCTGAGGCTGCCCGCCCTGCCTCCCCTCCAGCCCCACCAGACCTTTCTGCCCGGCCTCTGTGGCCTGATCCACGACTTGCTGAGCTGCTGCTCCGGCTGCTGTCACTGGAACAGAAAGAGGTGGCCTTTAGCCCCAGCTGAGGCACCCTGACCACAGAGACTCCACCACTGCTGCCCCCCACCTGTTTTTCAGAGTAGTCTGTCCTAAAGGCCCAAGGAGCCCTTTCCATGTCTCTGGGGTGTTCTTCTTTATTTACAGCTCTGGGCTCCTGCCCTCTGGCCTACTTCTCTGCATCTCCAGGGTTGCTGAGAATGTTCGACAGGGAAGGAAGGCAGGGCTGGTCTGGAGCTGGCATCTGAGCTGTGGCTGCTGCTGGGCATGGTCCAGGAAGACCCCTGCCCCCTTTAACAACTTCTCCCCTAGAGGCCTGACCCAGATGCCTGAATTCCCAGCTTTAGTGCACCTGGCCCTGGGGCCTCTACTTTTGCCAGGCATTCTTACAACCTCCTCCCTTCTGCAGCACACCCCACAGTGCAGACAGCATGAATGCCAATGCCTGCATGGGCAGGCAGCTTAAAGCATAAGGAGATGAAGCGCAAAAAGGAGGTGAAACTCCCAAAGCCAGGCCATCTTCTCTGGACCAAAGTTTCTGCCTGTGGTGAACGTGGTTCCGAGGGCTCAGGTGGGCTAGCTTGCTGGGTGGGCTGACGGGTGGCTGCAGCCTGCAGAGATCTGAATCATCCTTTCTGCTGAACAGGAACGGGCCTGCCTTATTCACATGCCATCCTTGTGGGGGGTGGGGGCAGAGGAAAGGAGTGGGCTGGTAGGTCCTGGGTACACTCCCAGAGGCCCCTGGGGTCTTGTCTGACATAGCCCATCCGAAAGCTACAGAGAAGGAGCCTTTGCACCCAGCTCACAAGGAAAAAGTGAGGCCCAGAAGGAAGGGTTCTGTTGACAGAGGCTTCTTGGTAGCACTTTAGTCTCAAAGGGAGAACTGTGGGCTTTCCCTGGGGCACTGATGAAGAAAGGAGTTGTCTCGATTGGGGCAGGACTGAAGTCCCAAGGAAGCCTGGGTTGGGTGCTAGAAGAACTAACCTGGTGAGCCAGGGAGTCTCCTCATATCCCCTACCGGCCACCCCCAGCTGTGTAGCCTCCGGAGTAAGGAGAGAGCTGGAGGTGGAGAAACTGAGCCTGGGACCTGCCCTGCCCGGTGAGGACTTAAAAGTAAGGAAATTATTTGGGGGAAGGAGGCACGGGAAGGAGCGGGTTTCAAAACAGCCCAGTAGAGTCTGGAGCAGCCGTGCCCATCTCATCCGGTGCTGTGCGCTCAGGCCCGGGCGGGGGAGGTCGGTGGCGCAGCGCGCGCTCCCGCGGACCTCCTCTGAAGGCCCGGGTGGGGCCGCTCCCCGCCGGAGCACCGCTGTTCCGCCACCTCCCCGGGACATCATCCCGCTGCTGATCAGGGTGGGCGTCCTGCCCGCCCCTCCATACCAGGGCCCGAGCCGCCCGTCTGCCGACCTGCGGGCTGCGCAGACCCGCGGCCCCCGCCCGCCTGTGTCCAGGCGGTGCCCCTCCCTGTGCCCGGGTCGCGCTCTGTCCTCACCCGCTCCCTGGGCGGCTCCCTCCACCTGTTGCTTCAGGTCCTGCAAGCCCTTGCTGGCCATGGCTGCGGGGCGTCTGCGGGGTCGTCAAGGGCTGCTGCAGCGAGGTTGGATCCTGCTCACGGAGGCGGCGACGTGAGAGCCAGATCGGGTTTTTAAGGCACCCCAGGGCTGGCCCGCCCCGCGGAGGGGAGGGGGCGCGGGGCGGTCCCGGGCAGACGGGCTCTTGGCCTCAGGCGGGCCGCGGTGGGGTGGGGGTGGGGGGGACGGCCCGAACCAGGGTCTAAAGAGCAGCTGGGTCAGGGGTCCAGAGAAAAGCCGGGGGCAGGAGAGGGGAGCATACGCCTCCCCCGATCTGGTCGGCCCGATCCTGGGGTCGCCCATTGGTGAGCATGGGGTCAGCGCCAGGTCGCGAACTAAAAAGGCTGGAGTTGACGTTAATGATAGCAGCATCATTTTATTGAGCATTTATCTTGTGCCAGGAGCTGCCCTAACGCTTTAAGTCTCTTGTATAATCTTTACCATCACCTCCTGAATTGGGTGTTATTATTAATAGCATCGGCTTATAGGAGGAAACTGAGGCAGACAGAGAGTGAGTTAAGTCTCACCGAAACTCACATGGCAGGGACTCCAATCTGCATTGGTGGGATGTAAACCCTAGGGCCCTGGCAGCCCCGAGGACCCCCCAACACTCTCCCTTCCACCCCCATACCCAGCTCAGCACTGCAGCCTGACCTTCTGCCTGCCGGCCACTGGACAAAGAACTCACCACTGGTCCCAAAAGCCGGACAACTTGGGCAGGAAGCACAGCTCAGGAGGGTAGGAATATGCCTGGGTCACACAGGTCACCTTTCCTGGGGCAGGGCATGTGGGGCTTGTGGATAACCTGAGGGTGCTAGGAGGGGTTGTTAGGAACCTGTGCCTGAGTGGAGGAGCCAGGATCCCAGGGACAGCAAAATGACCTTTGAGCAACCCCTTGGTACTCAAGGGGACATGGGTCGGGCCCCACCCCACCAGGCACTCTCCTACTCCAGAGTTGGCATTCGGAGCTAGGAGGCCACCACCCCATCTGTGTCTCCTGGTCATTCATTGGGACCCTCTCCTCTTCAGGGCTGTCTCTTACATCTCTGTTGGAGTCTCACCTATTCTGGAGCTGTGGGAAGCCCCTGCCACCCAGGCCTGTGTTGGGGCTGAGAGGCTGTTACCCCAAAATATGGTGCTTTGACATGCTGGAATAAAGAAGAAGCCTCAAGGTCTCTCTGACCTCCCCTCCTCCTGTCTCTCAATCCTCTGTCACTCTGCAAAGCACAGGAAGAGACTGCTCCCTCATCTGCCTGAAGTCCTGACCCACTGAAGATAGTTACTTCTGGTCCTTTCCCTGAGTCTAAATGAACTTAAGTCTTATCATGGAAAGAAAGACTAAAGTATGTCAACACACCTGGACAGAATTTTGTCACTCCTGGACAGACTTTTGACACATTTAGTGTTTTAAAGAGAATCATTTACCAGTCATTGTCTGCTCTGTGGGCCAAATAGATTTTGTCCCAGGCCATTGTATGTTCTCCGGGCCCATTGTGTCCCCTAAAAATCTCTTGTATGCCCCCCATCTTCCCTTTCCCTATGAAGAGGGGTATATAAGTTTCTGCACCCCACTGGGTTACCGGGCAGCCATTCTGTGATTCCCCCATGCTATGCAGGTTAAATTAGAATTGTAATGCCTTTTCTTCGTGTTAATCTGCACCTGTCAGTGATTTTTAGTGAACCTTCAGGGGTAAAGTTTTTCCTTGGCCCCTACTCCTGCTGCTCTGGCTCATGCCATGCTTCTAGCAGGGAGGGTCAGCCCCTTGCATGGGGCATCTGGAAGTGCATACACATGCACGCGCACGTGTGCATGCATGCACGCTGGGTATGGATTAATAGAGATGTCAACCCTGGGCAAGAGGAAGGAGCAGGCTTTGAGATTAGGTGGGGTAAGGGAGGTAGCACGGGCCCAGATAAACAAAGCCACCGCCCAGCCCTGCCCAGCCCCGCCCCTCCTGGCCCAGAGCCTGTCCCTGCCCTGGGCGCAAAGGCTCTGTGGGGAGTGGCCTGACTGAATCTCTGGGGACTCCGGGGAGCCCAGCCCAGCCCCTGCCACAGCCCTGTCAGCTCGCATGAAATCCCACCAGTAGCACTGTCCCCTTAGCCAGAAAGGCTTTTGACACCATTCTAGTTGGTTTACTGCTGGCGCTATTTGGCACCAGGCCCTATGGGCACGCACGAGGCAGGAAGGGCTGGTCCAAGCAGGCGATGGTACAGACGGCTCAGAATGGCCCCAAAGCAGCAGACAATGGAGTCAGACCTCTTGGCTTCAAATACCCCTGGGGCAAGTCCCTTCATCTTTCTGAGCCTCAGTGTCCCCATCCTTGATGGGAGGGAACACTAACAGAATTTCCCCAAAGTGTTTTTGTGAGGATTAAATGGGCCAGAGGGTGCCCAGACTCAGCAGAGGGCCCTGCAAGAGGGGCAGGGTGCCGGGCCTTCTCAGACCAGGAATGGCATAAAGAGAGAGCATCACTTCTCCAGCAACTTTGGAGCCGCCTCACAAGCCAGAGCACATGGCAGGGGCTCTAAAAGCAAAGAGCACTGCAGGTGCCCGTGGGGACGGAAGGGGCTTCCTGGAACCGCAGAACTCCGTGTTTGGCATCTGAGTCCAGGAATAGCCCTGAGTATGTATCTGGGGTTGGGGGACAGCAGCAGGGACCTTTCTGGGCTCCTTCAGCAGAGGCAGAGAGCACTGGAGGGGGGCCAGGGGCTGGGTCTAGGTGCCTTCGGCCTCCACCCTCAGTCACCTGAGCCAGCCTTGCCCCTCCTTGCTTTCTTATACAGCCCAAAGAGCTCTTAGGCACACCCAGGCCCCGGTGGCTGTCTCCTGGGGCATGCGCAGGCCTGCTGTGCCTATGTCTGGGCCAGGGAGCAGGAACACCCCTGACTGCCCTGAGCCGCTTCCAGGGACGGGGACCAGCAGTCCCCTGCTCCTTTCTTCCTCCTCAGCAGGGACACTGGTGGCCAGCCCACCAGGATACAGCCCAGCTCAGCTGTGCTTGACTGGGCTTTCAGCCCCCTGGGCTGCCCTTCACCTCTGCTGTGCACCACAGAGGCTGGATGGGGAAGCTGCGTGGACAGGGCAGGATCTGGAGTTGTGTGTGGACTCAAGCCCTGGCTCTGACACCCAGGACTGGGGGCCCGGGGCAAGTCACTTAGATGCTCTGAGCCCAAACTGTCTGGGTTTCAAGGGGAGGGTGGGGTCCCCAGGGAACCCCTGGTTCCTGCTCAGCCAACTCTGAACAAGACTCCGGGGCATGGTGCAAACAGCCATTCATGTAGGACACTGGCCGGCCAGGTCCCTGGGTTGTTTCAGAACCTGTAGAATGTGGGGGATGGCTCTGGAACAAGACTTCCTGGACCGTTCCCAGTCCTGCGTTTCTTAGCTGTGTGCCCTGGGGCAAGTTATTTAACCTCTCTGTTCCTGAGTTTGTTCTCAGAGAAACTGGGGTCGTGCCAACTCCCACCCCACAGGTAAAGTGCTCAGAACAGTGCTGGATCGACAGCTGGGAGGAACTCAGCAAATGTCAGTTTTAGCTGTTTTCTCTCAAGGTGAGACTTACTCTTGTGCATTTCAGCTTTTGTGCTTTTTAATGACACCTGACAGGCTTCTGAGTGGGGAGCTTGAGGCTGGGCAGGGCTAGGAGGGAGGTGCCCTGATGTGACATTCCTCTTCCTCACTGTGGGTTTAGACTTTGAAAGTTACCATCTGCTGCAGGAAAGGTGTTAGGTATCCCTGGTTCCCTGCAGGACACTGGAACCAAGGACGCACATGGAAGGCAGAGGAGCCCATCCTCACCTCCTGGTGACAGCGGGTTCCTCCAGGGACGCTGAGCAGGCGGGTGTGAGCTTAAGCTCGAAACCCAGGGGCATCCAGTCCTGTGCTCCTGCGGACTGTTGGGGGAGCCAAAGACAGGGCTGCCTCCTTCACGTTAAAGGCAATGGTGGGTTGGGTGAGGAGGTGATCCTGAAGACAGTACCTGCTCTCATAGGCTCCAGAAATACCCAGCGTGTCGCTGTAGGTTACCTGGTCCCATCAACAGGCAGAACCAGCTTCTGATCCTGTGAGGACCCAGGGGGCTTCTTCATCAGTGACAATGCAGCAGGGGTGGGGACTCAAGTTTTATTTGGACTCAAAAAAAAAAAAAAAAATTCACAGCAGCATCTGTGGGTGAGAAGGTGCAGAGGGCAGAAGGGGTGAGGGTGGGAGGTGAAGGCAGTGGTGGCAGCCAGGGCGGCCAGGGCTGTGGGTGGCCAGGCGGGGTGTGGGAGCGTGGGCAGCTGCGGGGCTCTCTCCAGGGCTGGCACTGCTTGTACTGGGAGGAGGTGGGGTCCAAGGCAGACAGGTGTCCCTCAGGGCCTCCGCTACTGACATGCAGCCCTCTAGTCTCCTCCACTCTTGGCCTGGAAGAGAGAGTGGCCCTTACACACAGCTCCAGGACCCCAACCCCCAGTGGCCACCCTGCGTGGGCTGGGGAGGGTTGTCATCTGGGCCCCCACCGTCAGGAGTCATTCATGGGGGGACCTCACACTCACGCTCAGGGTTAGCTTGCCTGCAGTCCCTGTGGGGGCTGTAGAAGGTCAGGAGGCCCCTATGGGCTCTGGGACCCCAGGAGGGAGGAAGTGAGTCTGTGGGGGTGGGGTCTTACCCAGGAACCCCCTATGCTGTACCCTAGAGTCCAGCTCTTACCTCTTCAGCCACTTCCTCATCCTCCTTGGCTGTTTTATCCTCCTGTGCAGGGGCAGGTGGTTCCAAGTCCTCCTGCAGGAGAGCAAAGTGGACATGAAACCATGTGGAGGGTGCAGAGGCCCCCAGCTGCCCTGCAACCAGGGCCTCGTCTACCTGGCCTCAAAGATGAGTAGAGGCCCCTCATTGCCCTGCCGGGCTGGGAGGGGCCAGAGGTGCAGGGGCCACACTGACTGTGAGAGCCCACAGCCGGGGCTCTGCCTGATGATGCCAAGGCCTTCCAGGGTGCCAAGTACCTGGGAACTCAGCTTCTCTCCCCGAGCTGATCCCAAGTCCCTGGGTACCCTCTGGTTGGGCTTCCTTGATGAGGAAGCCCAATAGGGTGGGATGGAGTAGGGGTGGGGTGGGGTGGGACAGGGCAGAAGCCCCTGAAGCCCCAGGCCTGACCCCACCCTCAGTGTTCATAAATCACATGAGCACACACCTTTGCCCTACTGAGCCCCCAGACAGCCCTAGGAGGAGAGGTGTGTCATCACCGTTCACACGGGGACCCTGAGGCCAGGGAATCTAGGTGTCCAGCTTAAGGCCTCAGAGCCCAAAGCAGCAGGGCTTGTCAGCATCAGGTCCAGCTTGCTCCAGTTCCACTCCCATCCCCAGTAGCATGGGTCCCTCTCCCTGTCTCCTGGTTGGGCTTGGGGCTCAGGTCTTACACAGTTCTCTCCCACTTCCTGTCCCCTGTTGCCCTACACTCCAGGCCAGCCAGACACTTGCCTGAGTGGTCACAACAACTGGGTGTGTAGGACCAGACTGGTGATTGGCCTGGACCCTGGTCTCAGCACCTACCTCTACAGGGTCCTTCCACCTCCATGCTATCACAGAGCCATCCTGCCCCTTGGTGGAGTGGGCATAAAGGGGCACAGAACTGGGTGGGCCAGAGTAGGCCAGGTTGTCCAGGCGAAGGGTGGGTGGCTGCCTGCCTAGTCCAGCTGCCCCAGGCCGGCGCGTGAGGCCAGTGGTATGAGCAATCACGTGGACGCTGCTGCATCCTCTACGGTTCACTGGGGGGTGATTCACGCCTGGTTTCTGGGTGTCTCCAGGAAGTGAGTCTCCCTTGGGGAGACTCCAAGGGCTCCCCAGCCCTCCTCCAGCATCAGCAAGGAGTGCCCAGCTCTGAGGCCCGGCGCCTACCCCCAGGCCTCTGTTGCTGGTGGTTGGTGGGAGGGGACCTCCTTGGGCACATTGGGTTACGCCTAGCGCACTGATGGTGATGAGGATGATGATAAAGACAAATCACCTTCATTTGTTGGGCGCTTACGACGAGCCAGGCAGAACTGCTCCAGGGGGTCACTTCCCTCCTTCTCACAGCCCAGTGGGACACTCTCACCCCCATTCTGCAGATGAGGTAGCAGAGACCCAGAGAGGTGATGTGGCTTCCTAAGGTCAGACAGCTAGGAAGGGACAGAGCTGGAGACTAGGAGAGGGAGCAGCTGCCGGTTCCAAGGACCTAGGGACCCTGTGCAGGTCCTGGATGCAGGCCCCTCGGTGCTGCCCCGAGAGCTGGGGCAGGGCAGCCCCTACCCTTCCACCCATTCACATTCAGAGGGAGATTCTGAGTGCAGGCTGTGCCTGTAACCTCAACTTGGCCACCTGGGCGTCCTATAGCAGGTAAGGGAGCTGGAGACAGCCCTACACCCTACCCCCAGGTTGGAATCCCAGCCCCTGCCACGACCTACACCAACACAGTCTCTCAGAGCACAGGCTCAGTCCGGGCTGCCCCTGGGAATGCCAGGCTCATGAGTGCTGGCCATGGGCCCTTGGGCACGTTACTTAATCTTTCTGGGCCTTAGTTTCCACACCCTCTGCCGATTAAATGAGCTAATAAATGTCAAATTCTCTGTGGTAGGTGCTGGGACAGCTCATCCAGCTGACGTCGGCCCATGGGAGTGCCCCACTGTTCCTTTGCCCTCTGCTGCCATCTGTACACACATGCTCACCCACAGGCACGCAGAGTCACATGCATACACACTCACACATGCACACACTCATATGCACAATCACACACGCACATGTGCACAATGTATCCTCACACATATACACATGCACAGCACGCGCATGCTCACTCACATGTTCACACTCACATGCACACTCACGCAATGCACGCACACCCCCACACATGCACACTCATGTAAAGTACACCCACACGTGCACAATCACGCATATGCACACCCACACTCACGTAATACACACCGACAATACACACTCATACGCATGCACATTAACACATATGCACACTCATGCAATGCACATCCACACACTCACTTGCATACTCACACATGCACACTCATGCACATGCACACCCACACACATACACGCACATGCATCCTCACACATGCACAAGCACACACACATACTCGCACATGCACACTCATGCATGTGCACACCCACACATGGATTCTCACACACACGCAGGCACACTCGCGTTCAGCACACACGCAGCGGCGTAGGGTGGGTCAGAAGCCTTACCGCTTTTCCATCGCCAGGGGGCGCTGCTTTCCTGCTGCTCCTTGGAGGGGCAGCAGCCCAGCCAGACCAGGCCAGGCCCCTGGAGGGAAGCCGGACACTGGGTGGGTGAGTGGTGACTCCAGCCTGTTGTCCACCGTCTGTTACCATGTGGGGCTTCTGTTTTCGCTTATACAATGTGATACCTCCTAAATGCTGACAGCCATCGAGGGGCGTGGTTTCAAGCCTCATTTTCCTTGTCTATAAAATGGGCCCCAGACTCCCCCTCGCAGGGGTGGTTGTGAGGATTCCAGACGTGAATGGGTGTGAAAGCACCAGACACAAGCATACACACACACACGCCCCCCGGCGCACGGTGGATGTTGGATCCGTTGTCCCCTGCAAGTCTTTGTTTCCTGTGTGTTTGCCTGTCCTGCCTGCTCTGCAGCTGGCCTCTGTGGGCCCAGGGGAGAGGATGGGACAGGTCCGAGAGCCCGGCTCACCTTGCGCACCACCCCGGCAGTGACCGCGATGTTCTCTGCCTCCTCCACGGTCTTGACGGCCACGGTGTTGACGCTGCTGACCACGGCCTCGCTCACGGCGTTGGCCTGCTCCTTGGTCTTCTCAGCCACTGTGGGAGGACGCTGGCTGACCCTTCCCACCGGGCAGGCTTGTCCAAGTCAGGACGCAGCAGCCCCTTCCCAGGGCTCTGCTGGGACCCTCAGCTGTCCCCTTTCTGACTCGAGGACAGCTCTGACACTGATGGGGGTAAACAGGAGGCCCACCCTGGCCTAGCCTCTGGGTCCTTGTAGGGCTTGGGACCCCATTTGGGGGTAAGGGAGGACTGTGGGCTCATGCTCCCAGTCCCCTTGTCCCCTGGCCCTGGGGCTCCTCACCTGAGGTCACGCTCTGCACAACACCCTCCTTGGTCTTGGCTCCTGGGGAGGAAACGGAGGTGTCAGCCCAGGCCCATCCTCCTGGTATTGGAGGGACAACTGTGGGGTCAGCTGAGGGCAAGGACGGTGTTTGGGGGCTGGCAGCCCCTTCAAAGGGACGCTTCCGGCTGTGTCTGGAAGAAGGGGGTGGATGGGAAGGGGACAGGACAGGATGGGGGACAAACAGGCCTGAGATAGGGACATAGGGCCTCGGAAGCAGCAGGACAGGGCAGATGAGTGCTGAGTCATCAGCTTAACCTCCTCCTCCTCCTCGGAGGGACCCAAGGAGAACGGGGCGGACGGGACACTGAGCCTGGGTCTCACCTCCCAGCCCACCTTTTCTCCTGGGCAGGGCGGGGACCCGTGGCCTGGCTGCTGTCCACAGCAGCTCCAGTGTGGCGGGGGCAGGGAGCCCGCCTGAGCACCAGGCTGCTCACAGCTTTGGGGTCTCCAGGCTCCGGGGACCCTGGGGTGTGTTGTGCACGCCTTTGTGAGTGCACACATACATGGTTGGCCGTGTCTGATGTCTGAGTGCCCCTCTTGCTGTTCTGTCCCAGAGACCCCTGGGGTCTTGAGGCGGCCAGAGGCCAACATGCACTGGTGTGTGCAGGGGACTGTGGATGCTCCGGGGCCTGGAGACCCCACCTCAACAGCCAGGGCCTCACCCCCTCCCGAGATGCCTCCCTACGACTGGGTAGTAAGGTCGGGCTGCAGATGACGGGGCATCCATGCTCCAGCCACCTTGCTGCCCCTCCCTGCCCCACCCTGCCATGCCCTGACTCACCCACATACATGACCCCCTCCTTGGTCTTCTCAGCTGCTTCTGTCACCCCCTGCTTGGTCTTCTCCACGGCGCCCACCACGCCCTCCTTGGCGATGGAGAAGCCCTTCTTGAAGACGTCCATGCTGGAGGGCAGGCTGCTGGGCTGCGGTGGCAGGGACGGAGCCTGGCCTGGCTGTCGCTTCGCCGTGAGCTGCGGGCTGAGCTGGCGCAAGTGCTGCCGCAGCGGCCGCCCTCCCTGCCTCTCACTGACGCTATGAAATATTGATGCGGCGGCAGCCAGCTGGAGCCCCGCCAGCGGGGGCAGGGCAGCAGCGGGAGGCTCTGCTGGCTCCCTCCTGCCCGCCTGTCCTCCAGGGGGGTCCAGGGAGGCTGGACACATCCCAGTCCATCACTGCCCCTCATCCCCACACTGCGCTGCCCACCCACGGGGAGGCCCAGACTGGTGCTCTCTGGCCCTGGGGCTGTGGTGTCTGTGCTATACCTGGGGATACAGGCGCAGAGAGGGGAGGTGCCTCCACCAGTGCCCCCAGCATCCCAGCTAGGGCAGGGGTCAGGGCCATGCAGGCCTGTCAGGTGAGTGGCCAACCTTCCAGACTGTTCTGGGCTGCTCAGCTACACACCAGCATCCTGGATGCCCTGAACCCTGGGCTCTTGCAAAACCAGTTGGAGGAGCTTGGGGCACTGGACACACGGGCTTCCCCGTGCCCTGCCCTATGCCCACATGCTATGTGACCCCAGGATAGCTCTTTTCTTTCTCTGAGCCTCCACCCACGTACTGGCTCCCACAGCCCACTGGTGAAAGGTGCTGAGGAGGCACGCCGTGCTGCCCATTTCCTGGCCAGCAGCATGGAAGGGCAGCAGGTCACTTGAGACGGACCCAGCCACTTCCTGCAGCCCTACCTCGAGGCTTCTCCTGACTCCCAGGGAGCAGGTTTGGTGGGGCCACCCCTGTGTCTCCCCACCCCCACTGTCCCTCAACCAAGTCCTCCCGGGGCATAGGAACCAGCCAGCATGGTTGGTGGCCTGTGGAGCCAGGCAAGGGGGTGGGGGCCGGACAAGACCCACCGGGAGGGCCAGCCCAGGCCACTTCCTCTCTTTGTTGTCCCTGTATTTTCTTTTCCTTCTGAGATTTAACTTGGAGACCACGTCACTGGCAGTTTCTGGAGTCACTTGTCGAGGCTGAGCCTAAGCCGAGCCCAGCCTGAGCCTGTGCCGTGACCAAGATGATCCTGACCCTGCTGCTTGGCCTTGGGGGGCTCCTTGGCTGGGGCCTGCTGGGAGCCTGGGCCCAGTTCCCCAGTACCAGGTTCCCAGACCCACACGGCTCCAGGCTGCCTGGGGTCGGGAGGACAGAGGCTGAGGACACCGGCAGGGACCCTGTCAGACGGTAAGGAGGGCCTGGACCTTGGCCGGGTTCACGGTGCAGGATGTGAGCCCCAGCTCAGCCTGTGGCTTGGGCAGGTGGGGAGCAGCTCCCACCACCAACCATCCGGCATCAGGGGCTGAGGACTGTAGTTCTAGACATTCCCAGCTGTGCTGGCCTTGGCTCCTGTTCTTTGAAGAAAATCAATTCTGAAAGCTGAGCCCCAGCAAGGCTGGCCCAGCCTAAGCCATTGAGGACAGGTGCTCCTGGGGAGGGGATTCTGATCTGAGTGCCCAGGGAGCCTGGACCTGAGTGCTGAGCAGTTAGCAGAGAGGGCACCTTGTTCTCCAGAGCACAAAGGAGGCAGCAAGCTTGGCCTTGGTGCTCCTCTGGGAATGGGTGGGACGATCTTGCAAATGGACCCTGTATGCCATTTTCCAACATGCCAGGGACCCTCCTGTGGGTCTCCCCTCTGGGTCTGAGGTGGTCCTGGAGCCTCCTCTCCAACCACCTCATAATTATAGCAGCAGGTGCCGTTTCCTGGGCCAGGCACCTTGCCAAGTGTTATCTCTGTTAATCCCCCCAACAGTCCCATTGACAGAAGAGTCATCTGAGGCTCAGAGACGCTGAGCAGCTTGCCCAAGGTCACATAGCTAAGGAGAACTGGAACAGGATCTAAGTCCGACTCCAGAGATCACACCTGACCCTTGCTCTGACTGCAGCACTCAGAGACAGCCCGGCCCCAGGTGCTCCCACCCGCACCCCCACCGGCCCCTCACCCACGCACAACAGACTTCATTGGTTGAGGGCATCTATGTGGATTTGGAAGGTGGGGGGTGGGAGCAGCCTACATCCACCCAGAGTCTCCCATTTGGATGTATGAAGTCCCTGTCGCATTGGCTCACAGGATGAATCTGCCTGGGACAGCCTCAGATCAGGTGAATGCTGGTGGTCATTCTCCCGAAAACAGATTAGACCAGGAGAGGCAAGAGGACTAGAATAAGCAAGTGCCCATCAGCCCTCAGCAGGACCCGTCCCTGCTTCCCGTTCTGGCTGGGGGGCGGGGCAGGGGGGGATCCAGCCACGCAGCTCTGATTTCAGGACCAAGGACCAAGCCTTCCCTCTCTAAAGCCATTAGCTCCCTGCATGAGTCTCTGGGCCCCCTTCCTGCCTTTGATGAAGGGGAGGACAAGGGGACCTTAGTGGATAGGAAGGCGGAGGGAGCCACTCCCAGCAACAGCGTTCTGCTAGGGATCCCCCGGGATCGAGGGCCTATGGACTGCTGACGGGCTGCCCAGCAGGTCCCTCGGCTGTTCCCTGGGTGGTCTCAGCGTGAGCAGTTGTGTGCACCAGGGCTTCTGGCCCAGGACTGGCCAGGCATCCCAAGCCTGGCTTCCCCTGTCTGCTGGGTCTCCTCCCACAACTGCAGAAGCTGCGGTCTCCACAGGCCAAGCACAAGTTGTAGGGGCGTCTGGAGGGGCTGGTGGGAAAGGAAGGAAACGCTCTGCAGCTTCCTGGGCTGGTTGCTTCCCACAGGCCTGTGACCAAGGAGGCGGAAACGCTGCTCCAGTCCCCCTCCGGCAGCAGGGGAAGGGAGGGTGAAAGGGACACCTCACGCTCTGGCAGCAGGGTCCAGAGCCAGGCCTCCCGCCCTGCATTTGCCCCTCATGCCCACTTCTGGACCCCGGGCCAGAGCAGGCCCTGGACACAGACCCCGATGAGACCCTTTGGAAGGAGACTCTTGAGCAGAGTAGCTCAGTACCTGATGCCCTGTGTCCCCAGACTGCCAGGTCCCGTGGTGGAGGAGGGAAGGGGTTAACTATGTCCTAGGTCCCTGGGTATCTGCAAGGCAGGGCCCAGGGAGCAGTGAGGTCAGTGTTTGGCCACCATGAGGAGGAAGAGTCTCTTTTTGTGTCCCCTGGCTTAGCTGAGGGTATGTGGAATGTGAGCTCCTCAGATCCAGGACTTGCTGCTCCAGTGGGACTGGGTCTGTGGTGGGGACCATACTGAGCCCCGGGCAAGGAGTCCCATCTCCCACATTGTCATGACAGCTCAGGTGGGTGGGGATGCAACCCCGGGCCACGGAGCTCCTAAGTGACGGGTCGGAGCAGTGGCCTACATTCGTTGGGTTGCAAATAAGGTGTCTCTGTCCTGCCCCCCAACGGGGGTGGGAGTGTGGGGGATGCGGCTCCCCCACACTCCCGATCACCAGCATCAGGCTTCTCCTGACCCTGGCTGGCCCCGATCACCAGCATCAGGCTTCTCCTGACCCTTGCACAAGATGCGTTTGAGATTTTTGCAGCTGGGAGCTTGCAGCCCCGGGGAGTCCAGCATATTGCTGAAGGTCACACAGGAGCAGGGTGGGGCCCAGGCCCTGAGCATGAACAGGGAAGAGTCCCCACTGGCCAGAGCTGAGGCTCCCAAACCCATACTCAGGGAACCCCAGCTCTGGGCTGGCCTCCGTGTGGGCCTCAGGTTTCTCCGCCATGGCCCCTTCCTGGCTCAGACAGAGCCCTGCGAGTTTCTCCCCTGGGATGGACACGTTAATGGATTCGGGGCCTCAGAAAGCAAAGCTGCTGAGAACACACTCTCCATCCCCAGGAAGACTTGAGGCCCTGTTGGAGGTGGGTTTTACTGGCTGATTAAGAGGCACTTAAGTGCTCTGGTGGCAGCAGCAGCTGCGGCACATCCATTATGCAGGATGCTCGGCTACCAGCCCCTGCCCCCCAAAGACTCTGTCCACCTTCCCCACACCCCCTCTCTGTGACCCCAGAGACACAGCTTCTCCACATTTCTAGGACTGGGAGGAGGGCCTTGCTCAAGGTCACCCTGAGTCCAGGGAGGCGGAGGGGAGGAGAGCCCAGGCCTCCCAGCTCCCATTTAGAGGCAGATTCTGGGCCGCGGCATCAGGTTGGGGCCAAGGGCAGGCACGAACCTGGCTGTGGGATCCCCGCCCTCACTCTGGGCTGGCACCCGCCCCTCAGTAGACCGTTGGGAGGTGAGGGCACCCAGGAGGGCTCCCCAAGGGAGGGTGCAAAGAGAGCACAGGCCTGAGACAGAGTGACAGTGAGGACAATGGGCTCCTCAGCAAGTGGGGCCGGGAAGGGAGCTGCCAGGAGCTGGAGGAAACCAAAGCAAAGGTCAGGAATGTTCCCAGGGCTTCTGGGCCAGCAGCCTGCACTGTGCCAAGGGAGCGACTGCCAAGGGTGGGGAGCGTGGGCAGGGAGAACAGTGGCTGCTGGAGCCCAAGGTCCGTCAGGTCAGAAGAGAAAGTTCCCAGGCAGGAAGGGGGCGGCAGAGCCTACAGTTCCAGGAGCTCGAGGTGGAAAGTCCCGGTCACTCCTGGCAGGCTGCACCAGGCCAGGCGTGCTGTGGCACAGGACTGCGGGGCCCTCTGCATCAGGCCCGAGGGTGTTTGAGGAGTGGAACTTTGTTTAGGGAGGCCCTATGGACATTTTGGACTGGACGATTCCTTGCTGTGGGGGGCAGGGGCTGTCCTGCCTTGTAGGGTGTTGAGCAGCATCCCTGGCCTCCACCCACCACCCAGTTGTGACAACCATAAATGTCCCTAGACATTGCAAAATACAGTCATATGCCATATAGTAATGTTTCAGTCAATGACGGAACACATGCTATGGTGTTCCCGTAAGACCATATTGGCTACACCACATAGCCGAGGTGTGTCGTAGGCTGTAACATCTAGATTTGGGTAGTCCACTCTGGAGTTCCAACAACAACGAAATCACCTAATGACACATTTCTTAGAACTTATCCCAGTCTTAAACAACGCATGACTGTATACGTGGGGAAGTCCCCTCTGTCCCCTCTTGAGAACCACTGGTTTAGAGAGATACTTTTCCCTAGGACTGAGCCCACGCCCAGGAATTCCCACGGGGCCCAGACGGGTCTGTGCAGGTAGGCAGGCATCTTACCCATGGTCCCCAGCTCTGGGTGCAGCACTCTCACAGTCCACCTTTCGGCACAGGGTGAACATTCCTTCCTTCCTCCCTCATTTTGATGCCCCCCCTTTTACCATTCACTAGTCCTTTGGGCACGTACGAGTCTCTTCCTGATCTCTGTTCCCACTGACTAGTTTGTCAAACACTGTACCTTCGCCTCAGTTTCTCATTACCTGGCTATGGAGTTGGTCTTGATAGAAGAGAAACTCCTCCTTTGCTGTTGTCTTCCAGAATGTTCTTGCCTGTTCAGCTGCACTTTCTCTTCCTGACAGAAATGACTTTATTTATTTTTTTAAGCTTCATTTTTATTAGTTATACATACCCATAGGCAGGGGTCAGAAAACTACAGCCAGGGGCCAAATCTGGCCTACCAACTGTTTTTGTTAATAAAGTTTTATTGGAACACAGCCAGGCTCATTTATTCACATATTGTCAGTGACTGCTTTTGTGCTACAGTGGCAGAGTTGAGTAGATGTGATAGAGGTCATATGGCTTGGAGAGCCAAAAACCGGGGCCAGCACTGTGGGCACGTGACCTGTGCAATCACACGCACGGCCCTGCACTCTGAAAGGCCATCTTGAAATTCTTAATAAGTTTTGAGCAAGTGGCCCCAACTTTTTATTTTGCAATGGGGCCCTGCAAATTATGTAAAATATTTACTGTCTTTTCCTTTAGAGAAAAAGTTTGCTGACCCAGGGGTTACCATCAACAAATTCTATGAGGTTTGTTGAGACAATCAGAAGCCTCAGTTCCCTCTGGTCCCGAAAGGCAATGACGTTCAACTCTTTAGGTGATTCTTTTAGCATTTACCTCTGTATCTCTAAATAACATGCTTATATCGCTGCTTCTTGGGAGACAGCATTTTCTGTGATTCAGCTCTGATTCCCACCCCGTGCCCCAACCCAAAGCGAACGTGTGGGTGCAGTGCACACACACCCGCCGTCCTCACATGTTGTCATCATGAGTGTTTACATTCATGTGACTATGTATGCTACTTAGAGTTGAGCTTTGAAATAAACTACGGATCTTTTCTTTCCCCCTGCACACTTTTGGTTTTCCCTGGAGTAAAACCAATTGTCTTGTTTTCTTCTTTTGCTTAGTTTTCTGTGTCTTCGTGACTAACTCCATTCCAGACTCTCAGCCAGCTGTCCACATCTGCTCTCAGCACCATGCACGGCTCCCAGAGCCCCTGGTGGCACCCCAGGCTGGACCGTGCCTTCTGTACCCACAGCACCTCGTTGTCCTGGTGGCACTCTCCCGCCACCCCGCCTGTTTCCTAATTCCACTCTTTCTCTTTCCTGCTTTTCTCTCGTGGTTTGGTGGAGCAGCCCTCCAGCACCGTGGTACTCAGTCCTGGCTGCACCTCAAAATGACCCAAATGCTGATGCTCAGGCCCCAACTTCAGGGAGTCTCCTTTAAATGGAGACCAGTGACTCTTTAAAGTGCCACACGATGGTTTTGACACACAGGCGAGATTTCAAACTACTGCTCGGATGAGGGGTAGCTGGCAGGCACATGTTTCGGAACATGACTTGTTAGAAAGTTGCTTATTCTGTGCCCCTCATGTTGATAGTTAAGCTGGGTATAGGATTCCAGATTGGAAATTTTACACATATATACATACATATATATAGTGTGTGTGTATGTGCGCGCGCGTGCGCGCGTGTGGCTGGCTGGTAAGGGAAGCTGAATTTTCTTTCAGTGTTTTGAACGCAATTTTCATTGTGTTCTAGTTTCCAGTACTGCTGTCGAGAGGTTCAAGGCCAGTCCAATGACTGACGTGTGTGTGTGTGTGTGTGTCTCGGTTTTTCTCTTGGGAAGCATCTTTGTTCCCAGAGTTCTAAACTTTCATGATGATGTGCTTTGACGTGAGCTTATTTTCACCATATTGCAGGTAACTGGTGGGCCTTTTGAATCTAGAAATTCAAGTCCTTTCCTCCTGGCATATGTTTTTGATTTTTTTTTTTTTCCTTTTTTGTCTTTTTTCGTGATTGGCAACGGATTGCAACCCTCAGTGTCGCGCCCGTACCGGACCGGGACCGGCAACAGGATCGCAACCTTCGGTGCTGCTCCCGCACCTCACTCAGCCAGTGAGCGGCCGGTCTGTATGTGGGATCCGAACCCTCGGCGGGAGCGCCGCCACACTCCCAAGCGGCGCACTGTAGCAGTGTGCCACTGGGCCGGCCCTGTTTTTGATTTTTTTCATCGATGATTTCCTCCCTCTGTACTCTCTCTCTGGAATTAATTATTTGCATGTTGGATTTCCAGGACTGGTCCTTTATTTTTCCAGTCTTCCTCCTATTTTTATCTTTCTGCTCTTCTTTTAGGGAAGTGTTTTAAACTTTACCCTCTAACATTTCTATTAAAATTTTTGTTCATTTCTACTGTTAGGTTTTGGATTTCTAAAAGTTCTTTTATGTTCTCTGAATGTTCTCCCCTACCCCCCCCCCCTTTTTTAGCTTCCTGTTCTTGTTTCGTGGATGCAGTAACTTCTCTCACCAATCTGGGACTATTAGTGCAAGTTTGGGGGACGTTCTCTTCTCCCCGCAGTCTTGGTTTTCTCCAGGTTGACTTTTCCTGTCTGCCCATTTTGACGTCTTCTGTAATAGCGGCTTTTCTCAGGGATCATCTTGGCCGTCTGCTCACTTAAGAGAAGGAGATTGAGAAGCTGCTTGGGAGCTGGGGCGTACAGATGGGACTTTCTGATCTATGTTGTTAGAGAATGCTCTGGCTGGGCTATTTCAATGGGGGAACCCCTGATGTCAGCATTTTGGGGTCTTTTCTTCTTGGGATGGGTCATTTTCCTGAGAAGCTGTTCCAGTCTCCTGCCAATAGGGTAAAGCCTGGGAGCCAAGTAGAAGAGCAGGCTGGGGATCTCAGCACTCAAAATGGATGTGATCACTCGAGCCCCCTCAACCTTCCCCCCAGCCCTCTCCAGCTGTATCCCTGACAGTGCCTGATGGTCCCAGGACAAAGTCCAGCTCCTGAGAATAAAATCCCAGCACCAAGAGCTGCTCCATCACCATGGCCCTGAACATTGCCTCTAATATCTCACAGACGTGCCCACTTCTCCTATATCCACCGTTGCCCCATCCAAGCTGCCATCATCTCCCACCCAGACCCCTAAAACAGCCACCTATGTCTTACCCCTCCTGTCCTTTCTGCACCCAGGAGCCAGGTGGCTCCTTCATATCATTTCCCTGCTGAAACCCCTCCATGACTCCCCATGCCCTCAGTACACAGTCCAGCTCATTGGCTGGCACTGACACCTGCGCAGCCCTCTCCTCCCCTCTGCAGCCCCTCCCCCTGCCACTTGCCTCTGTCACAGCTCCTGGTGCCTCATCTGATGCTCTCCTTTAAGACACAGCCCGATTATCTCCTCCTTCTGAAAGCCTCTGCAGATCCTAGCGCCCTTTCTGAGATCGGCTGCTCTCCCTTGGGACCCCGAGGGAAGGTCTGCCTCTCCATCTCCGCACTCTGAATGCTGTGCTCACTTGAGCCTGGCACCTGGCCCCAAGAGGTGCTAAGCTGAACTGGGCTGTAGTCATTGCCACTTGCATCTCTCAGAGAGCTTTGCTCTGGGAGCTGACTGCTGGGGGAAGGGCCCTCTGACCCCTTCCACTCACTCCATGGAGCCAGCCACTGGGTCAGTGAGCTGGGGCTCCATCAGCACATGCTGGTGATGGGCAAGATGGAGGGGCTACCTCCTAGGTGTCAGGATGCTGAGTGTGACTCCCAAACCACCCTGTAGGATGTTGGTGTGGTGGCTGCTCCCCCAGCTGCCTTCCTTCCCCTACAGTGACTGTTCAAAAGTGTATTTCCATAATGGCCCAATGGAGCAGGTGTCCTCGCCACGGTGGGGTCTCCGGCGAGGAAAGTCATGAGTAGTAATGGGCAGGCTGCCAGGGCAGCCAGAACAGGGCAGTGGGCAGCATTCACAGAGCAGTGGTCAGGAGCCAGGCGCTTGTACTCGCTCGCTCACTTGGAGGAGGGCATTACGGTCTCCACCGCATAGGTGGGGAAACAGACACTCCCCAAGTGCCTCGCTCAAGGTCACACAGGCAGGAAGCGTGAAGGATTTGAACCCAGGACTCTCCAGTCCCAGCTGCACCGCGCTGCCTCCCTGGCACCAGGAGAAGCAGTGAAACTCTGCTGTGTGATTTGCGGGGCTCCTCCGCCTCTCTGTGCTGGTGTGGGAGATGCTCCAGAAGGCGGTGGAGCAGTCCCTCCTTGCAGGTGGGGACTGTGGCGCATCTACTCTGGAGTCCAGGGACACATACTGCAGAGTGCTGCCTTTTCGGGAGAACTGATTCCAGAACCCCAGCACTGGGTGGGGCAGGAGGCAGGGGCGGGCCCTCTGCAACAGTGCCCCCTGTTGTCCTCTAGAAGGGGTCATTGGGGGGCCCGGGTGTGGCTCAGTAATGCTCTCTTCTGGCTTGTTTTCCAGTAACTGGTGCCCCTACCAGAAGTCCAGGCTGGTCACCTTCGTAGCCGCTTGCAAAATGGAGAAATTCCTTGTCCACTCGCAGCAGCCATGTCCACAGGGGGCTCTGGAATGCCAGAAAGTCAAAGTCATGTGAGTGGGGCAGGGTGGGCCATTCACCCAGGCCCCATGTGGTGTGCGTGGGCTCACCTTGGAGTTACTGAGCTGGCTTTCCCCGCTGCCAGGTACCGCATGGCCCAGAAGCCGGTGTACCAAGTCAAGCAGAAGGTGCTGACCTCCATGGCCTGGAGGTGCTGTCCAGGCTTTGGGGGCCCTGACTGCCAACACCACGGTAGGACTCCCTCTCCCCTTAACCTCGGATCCCAGAGGTCTGTAGCTCCTCTAACCTCTGGGGTCAACATCCAATGCTTTCTTCCGCAGCCCCCACAGCAATCCCTGAGCCTGCAGATCCAAGTGATGGCCACCGGGAGCCTTGGGACTGGCCAGTCAGCTTGGAACCTGGTGTGTTGCTTTCCTGGAAGGTGCAGCAGGGCAGCGGGCAGAGCCCATGTGTCCGGCCCTTCCTCCTCCGGTAGTACAGTGCCATTTCAGGAAAACCTCGCTGCTAGAACCTGCAAGGGCCCCACTGCGGCCCTGCACCACCTTCCCCCAGTGGGCCAGGTTCACAGGGCTGCCAGCTGCCTGCCTGCTGCCTGGGCACTCCCTCCTTCTCCTTGACCCATCTTCTGGGAAGGACTGATTCATTGGGCACGTCCCTTGCCCCTTGAGCCACACAAGCTCCCATGCCTGGAAGAAGCCTCCCCACCCTTCCTCATAGCCCAAACTGGGGCCAGGAAGTCATGCTGTTCCTAGTCCTTGAGACAGCACAGGAGACCCACCAAGAGACACCATTTGTGAGGCCTTTCAAGGCTGGGTCCACAGTTGAGATGGCAAATGAGTTTCATCACATGGTGACCTCCTGTGGGTCGACCAGGGCTGCTGGGAATGGTGTTGTGCGGCCACGTCCAGTGCTGAGGAGGGAGGCATGCGGTGTCTGTTGTGGGTGTGGGAGGGCGGCCGAGGGCCGTCTGGGCACACGTTTGCCCTTCTGGGGCTGAAGTCTTCTAAGCTCCTGCTCAAAGGACGTCAGCACTCACCCCCCACTCCCAGCCCCCAACTCTCCTTCTCTGTACCTCATGATCTGCCCGGGCCTGGGGAGTTAGCCCCAGACACTTATGTCTGATGTGTATTCAGGCCACCTGCCTGCAGAGATCAACGAGGTTGAGGCGCGACAGGGACAGCAGGAACGTCTGCTGGGAGATCTCCAGAACGACGTTCACCAGATGGCAGACAGCCTCCCAGGCCTGTTACTAAACTTCACAGCTGTGACGGAGATGGCGATGGAGGCAAACCAAACAGAGCGTGGTGAGTGGCAGAAGACGGGGGGGAAGAGCCTGGTCACCTCAAGGGGAAGGGGGGGAGGGAGGCAGGAAGGCACAGACCTCTGAGGACCCCGCTGGTCCCCGCCGGGGGGAGGGGGGTTGTCGGCTACTGCAGGGCTTGTGTAGAAACATGTCTGTTACAGAGCTTCTGGGCAAATCCTCGGAGCAAATGCTGTCGCTGCACATGGGTGCCTTCCAGGAGGTCCATTTCAGCCCCATCTGGAGGAGCATCAACGAAAGCCTGCACAGCCTCTTCCAGGCCATACGAAACCTGTCTCTTGATGTGGAGGTCAACCGCCAGGCCATCAAGCAAGTCCAGGAAAGCACCGTGGCCAGGGCTGACTTCCAGGAGCTGGGTGCCAAATTTGAGGCCAAGGTCCAGGAGAACGCCCAGAGAGTGGGCCAGCTGCAGCGGGACGTGGACGACCGCCTCCACGCCCAGCAACTTGCCCTGCACCACTCCCTGTCTGAGGTCCAGGCCCATGTGGACACCAAGTTGAAGCAGCTGCACAAGGCTCAGGAGGCACTGGGGACCAATGGCAGCCTGGTGGCAGCAGGGGCTGGTGCAAGGCCAGAGCCGGAGAGCCTGCAGGCCAGGCTGGGCCAGCTGCAGAGGAACCTCTCTGCGCTGCACGTGGCCTCGGGCCGCAGGGAGGAGGAGCTGCAGAGCACCCTCAAGGACATGAGGGCCACCCTGGCCCGGCACGTGGATGAGATCCAGGAGCTGTACTCCGAATCGGACGAGACTTTCGATCAGATCAGCAAGGTGGAGCGGCAGGTAGAGGAGCTGCAGGTGAACCACACGGCGCTCCGGGAGCTGCGGGTGATCCTGATGGAGAAGTCACTGATCACGGAGGAGAACGAGCAGGAGGTGAAGAGGCAGCTCCTGGAGCTCAACCTGACGCTCCAGCACCTGCAGGGCGGCCACGCCGACCTCATCAAATACGTCAAGGACTGCAGCTGCCTCCGGGAGGGCAACAGGGACGGCTCCTCCGTGCGGGCCCCGAGCGGCGCCGTGGACGCGCAGGAGGCGCAGGGCGAGCGGGCGGCGGCGGCGCCGGCTGCCCCGCCCAG